GGAAGCACAGAGGGAGCAGACATAGCTGTCTACAGTTGGCTGTTTCTGTTCTCATTCTTCCCGGTTCACAGCTTCAATAATCATCCAAGTCCTTCCCTAACCCTCACTTCTGCTTTTTCTGGAAACAGTTCCTGGCTCTGAAGGAAATTTTTTTTTCCAGTTTCTTCTTCTTTATAAAATTTTATCCTGTTCACTATCAGGACATTTGAAACATTTCTATTCAAAATCAGCACTTTAATTTTCAGTCGGTGTTTACCGCCTTGTTCATTTTATTTTTATTGTTTTTATTTTCTAATATTGCAAAGGAGGATGGACAGAGATCAGACATGAGGCCCAATCTGTGTTCTTCAAGCTCTGCTGCGGGTTTCACAGTAATTAGATATTTTGACTAATTAATAGCTGTGGTGATAATGGACTCATAGTGGCAAAGGATTTTTTTTTTCTTTTTTAAGAAAATGCTACTCTGTAACTCATTTTTGAAATTTGCTTCTGCACTTAGAATCCCTAAGCTTTGTAGATTTGTAATCATGACAGAGAAAGATGTTGCTGGTTTACCCAAAAAACCCAGCCTCACTTGCCATGGGCACAGTGTAAAATCTATCTGGAGAAAACCACTGGTCAAGAGTCTCAGTCCTTCCCACATAGGGAAAGTATGGAAAGGCCAACCCAGAAATCAAATGTAATTTTCCATCTCTGAGTTATAGGGACTACACTTGAGCGTGGAAGAGCATTTAATCCATCTCACTAAATGAAGACAGTACCTTTTTACATGATCTCACTAAATGAAGACAGTACCTTTTTACATGATCTCACTAAATGAAGACAGTACCTTTTTACATGAAATTCCTGAAGATCAACAGTAACACGTGTGCAGCAGGTCATCACTTGTCTGACAGAAACCATCCATCTCATTCATCGCCAGACAGAGCCGCTTTCACTGCCTGCCTAGCTCCGTCCTTCAGTCCTTACTTCCTCCACCTTCCAAAACTACCTACACAATTCTCCTTCCTCATTCCTCTTCCCATATCGATCCATTCTTAACATAGTCACACCACTCAACTTCGCCTCGTGAGTTCATCTGCCTACGTACCCCTCAATTCTTTCTCCATGGGTAGGAAACTCAGGGAGACAAATGTTCTATATTCCTGCATGATAGGCCTTCTTTGGTCAAGAAAAAAAAATCATCAGTTGTCTTGGACTGAAGTCAACCCAAACGACATTCATTTTAAATTCCTTCAAGCCTGGCATCCACCCATGAAGCTTAAGGGCTCCACCTAGTGATCCCTAAGATACCCAATACTCAGACACCAGATTCTGCAGGATGCTCCCATTAAGGTTCAAACCTTACAGTTAGGTTCAGTTTAAGAAATGCTCCTCAGCCACTTCCCACTTCATCCCAGTCCTGGGCTTTAGTAATTAACACAATTAGAAGACTCCTTCAAGCACCCAAGGACACTGTATTTTGTGGGATGAAGACATGTTACTGGGCAGCTGTGCTTAAGGAACTGGGAAAATATGGGAAACCTAAGCAACATAGGCGTTCAGAAGAGGCTGAGGACATGATGAAGAGAAAAACAAAACTTATAGAACCACATGTGGTGGCATACAACTATAATTCCAGCATTCAGGAAGCCAAAACAAGAGGAATGCTGGGACTTCAAGGCCAGCCAGAGCAATCAGAGGAAAACTCAAAAAAAGGGGGGCGGGGTGAGAGGAAGGGGAAACATGGGAAGGAGTTATAATCTTCAGCCACTTTGTAAAGGGTCAACATAGAGGAAGGTCCGCTTTGCACTGCATGCTGGGAAACACAGCAGAATGGTCTCCTGGGAAGAGAGCAGCACTTGCAATCAATAGATTCAGAATGAAATGCCTCAAAGATGACACTGTCATGGCAGTTGCTGTGCGTGGCCTAAGTGCCCCCTGCACCCGCAACACAAGGAAGGATATTGATGTTCGAGGCAGAAAACCCTGGGCTTACACAGATAGCTATACAGGACCATCATTATGGATTAAGAAAACAGCAGCAGCTTGGAAAAAAGAGGGCTCAAGAGACATGATCAGCACATTGTAGACTAGAAGTCCTGGGTGCATCAGCACTTGATCAGTAAGAAGCCACAAGTCTGCAATCAGCATTTGCTCACCAGCTATAAAAAGACTGTTTCCAGTTAAGGATTAATAATTGATCATCATCAGAGTTGGCAATGTGGTTCAACAGCTAAAAGCACCTGCCACCAAGCCCAACAACCTGAACTTGATCCCGGGACACACAAGTTGTCCTTCCTCTGACCTCCACGCGTGTGCTATGGCACACGTGCCCACACACTTGGACACAAAATAATGATTTAATTTTTTAATAATTGATCATTATCAGCTGCCAGAAATCTACTAGGAAAAACTGAAAATCTGCTTTCCTATCCCCCAGGAGAGTAAAACTCTTGTGCTGTACTCCTAAGTCCTCTGTTTCCTTTGAACCACAGTCAGCATATCTGGCACATTCCCCACGGAGACTAACACTCTTGAATGACCCCCTCTCATTGGGAAGGTATATGTCAGTGTGCTTCCCTGGGGCTAGGGAATGAGGACCATCCAGAAGACTCTAGTGGTAACAGAGGAACTGCAACTGAGAGTCACTTTTCCTCGTTTAGAGGTGAAGAAGGAAGACAGGAGGGAGGGTTAATTTTAGGAACTCAGATAAGATACACTGATCTTTGTCAGACTCTTCCATCTAGCTGTAAGACACAAAAATTCTGGACATAAACCTATTTTATTGTTAGATTGGAATAATTCTGCTCTTCATTTTAATTTTTTGTTTGGTTTGTTTGGGGGGGGGTTGTTTTAAGACAGGGTCTCCTGTAGCCCCAGCTGGCCTGGAACTCACTATGTAGACCAGACTGGGCCTTGAACTCACAAAGATCCACCTGCCTCTGCCTCCCAGATTGCGGAGATTAAAAGCATGTGCTACCACGCCCAGCTTATTTTTTAAAATAACCATGAGAGAAAGTGGTACAAACAGCAGTATTGTACTGGGCTTAACCACAGGACTTGCAGATGCCTCAGATCTTTGTCCTAACAGGTAACTGATGATGTATTCACCACACATGCAAACCCTACAAAAATATGACATTTAAAAATGATTTGGATTGACCTATTTGTCCTAACAAAGGAGCTTGGAAAATACATCCCTCCCAGTGTGAATTTTTTATTAAATTTTAGTTAGTTTTGTATTGAGTGTTTTGCCTACATGTATGTAAGCACACACAGGCTTGCAATGCCCACAGAAGCCAGAAGAGTTTAATGTTAATAGCTTTCCAGTAGATATGACTGGATTTCCTCGAAGTCATCACCTCAGGCCCTTTAGGTGGTGGGGACTGAACCAAGGCCCTACACAAACTAAGCACATACTCTGACAAAGTTCTTGCTGCACTGGCTATACAACCCATTCGATATTTCAAAGAGCTGACATCCTGCATGAACCTAGCAGAGGCAGGAACAAGCATGTGCCATGAAGTATGATGTTTGATAGCTTTTTGTCATCCCGAAAGTGCTTTATCAAAGTGAGGACACCTCCTTAAATACAAATTGAGTTTTTATCAGGAATTATTACCGAGTTGCCAATTTTTGAATTTCTGCATCGACATGGCCTATGATCCTCTGCCTGCACCGGTAAGGAGGTTCCTTTTGAGTGCTGGTCCTACCTTCCCTCCTTGAGAGAAATCTTGTCTATTATCTGCCTAAGGAAGGACATCTGTTATAAGCGTTTGATATGTTAAAACTTTAACATCTCGTGTTATCAGGCATGGCTGCATGCTTGTCATCACAGCACTCGGGAGGCTAAAGGGACATCCTGAGCTACAGAGTGAAAGCCTGTCTCCCCAAAAAAGAACTAAAGAACAACAACATGGATTGGGGAGGGGGGTCTAAATTTGATTAAGAACCTCTGTATAAAATTCCAAAAGCTCAATAATTTTTTAACTTCTCCACAATTTTAAAAGGGAAAAAATGCATTTATGTTCATTAGAAGCTAATGATTTTTTCTTGAAATGTCTTATGTAGAATCAGGGCACTGCTGCTCTTATAGACAGAACTAGTCGTCTCTCGTTTTCTGCAAGGAGGTGTAGAAATGATTTCTCCATAGAAATGTGTAACAGCACTCGGGCTACCCTTGCCTGGTTTTCCTTGTAAGATTAACTCAAACATTTGCTTTTTTCCCACAGAGCTACTTAGGTGTTCTACTTCTTAAGTGAACTAAGACACTATTTTTTCACAAGACTTGTGTTCATTTAAAAATACAAGTGTACCACTGTGAGTTCTTCTGGTGGTCTCTTACTGTTTCCCTTCCAGACAGGATCTCAATATGTAGCCCAGGCTGGCCTCAACGTGAAGCTCCTCATGAGTACTGGGATGACTGACCTTCTCTTCCCTCCTGACGGTGGTAATTTGTACCATCTTTTTGTTTCCCCTCAATGAGTCTAGACAAGAGGTTTATGAATTTTCTTGAACTTATCAAAAATGTTTTAATTTTCTCTATGGTTTTTCTTTCCAATATTGTTGATTTCTGCCCTGCCTTTGCTATTTTTCTTATTACACTTCAAATTAATCTTTTTCTAGTTTCTTAAAGTGGCAGCTGAGGTCACGAGACCTTTTTACCCCAACACAAGCAAACAGTGCCATGAATTTCCATCTGAGTATTGCTTTAGTTGCATCACATGATTTAAGGCCAACACACAAAAATCAATTGTATTTCTGTATACCCGCATAAACAAGTATAAACCAATGCCATTTACAATTAACTCCAAAAAAATAAATATTTAACAGACTATGTACAGCATGTGTATGACGAAACAAAATGCTGATGAAAGAAACCAAAAAACCAAAGACGCAAATAAGAAGATTGGTGCTCGTGGACTGAAAGGATATTTAAGTGTCAAACCTTCCCCTCAATTTACCTATGTATTCAGTGCAACTCTAGTCAATGTCTGAGAATTTCTGCACATATAGACTGACTCTAAAATTTACTCTAAAAAGGTACCATTCACACAAGTCAGAATAATTTTGAAAGGAAATATAAAGCTGCTTAAGAGTGAAATCAGCAGATTTTAAGACTTGTAAGTACTGGGCATCTTGACCATGGGAATATGGGTGAAAAAAAAAAGGTCACAGACTACTGGAAAGCAGGAAATCTGGGGTGGCTGACTCATGATAAAGATGCAAAATAAACTCAGTAAGAAAGAATAGTCTGCCACAACAGCTGGACACCCATCCACCTGTATGCCCCCAAATACAAGCAAAAGCACATACCTCAGATTTTTAAAAGGTTAACTGGAAATGATCATAAATCTAAATGCAATGTGTAAAACAATGGAATAGTTTAGAAGAAAACAGAAGAAAATCTTTGGATCCTGGGGTTAGACAAGACTTCTCAGACATAACACAAAAAAGGTATAACCCATAAAGTAATAAATGGACTTCACCAAATTAGAAGTTGTGCTCTTTAAAGTGTTGGGATAATGAAGACAGGCTACTGACTGGGGGAAAACACCACAAAGCACATATCTGACAAAGATTGTATTCATAACATAGAAGGATTCAACTCCACAGGAAGAAGTAGCCCAACTTAAAAACTTACAAAGGACGTGAACAGACTCCACCAAAAATGGATAGAACAGATGGTAAATAAGAATCTGAAGTGATAAGTCACCAACAACCATTAGGAAAACAAATTAAAAAACCATGATGAATTACTATACGGCCATCAGAATGGCTATAGCACGAAATACTGACAATACCAAACGCTGGCAAAGACAGCACAAAGGGCACTGAAGTTCCGCTGCACTTTTGGAAGCATGTTGTTTACATGTGCTTACAAATGAGTTTCATCTTGTGGTTTCAGATGGAGATGCACTTTCTCGTTTGCTCAGCAGTTACCAGTCAGAACATACAGAAGAAACTGAACTGTGCACGTTTCAATGAACCATAAATGAATTCTGCACGGGAAGAATCTTCTAGACTTCAGTCTACTGTAATCACTATTTCCTCATTTTTTAAAGCACTCATATTTGCATTTGGAATTTATTTTGTCCTAAAGCAGTTAGTGAATGTTTTCTGCACAGGTTCTCATAGTAAACTGTTCAGCTTCTCAGGCCACAGGAAGTCTGCTGTGCAACTTAACTGCCCTCTAGAGAGAAAGAGTAAACAAATGAGCCTATTAGCTATATCCAAAAACCTGTAACTTGACTTGGCTGTGGATGACAAGTAGCTGATCCCAATTCTAGGAGCAAGAGCAGTGGGAGTTAGGAGGCAGGACCAGGCCCACCATTCATTGGTGCTAAGCATTTACTTAGTGGCTGGTGATTTTGTGGGGAAAATCTTGCACTGCTGTTAAACGCTGGTCTCAAGGTTATCCCAAGGTCATCTTAGTCCTAAGCAGATCTACACTTCAGCACAAGGACTTTATCAAGATCTTCCACTCCTCACACACCAAGCACGGTGGATCCTGAGGAGTAGTCAGGCTGAGGAACTAAGTGCAGAGCTATGGCAAGGACCAGTTTCCCCCCCAAGGAATAGGCTCCATTTACAAACAGGACACACCCCAAAACAGGAAGCATCTCCACCTGCCCTATCATGACACATGCTGATGTGTTTCCCAGAAGTTGTCTGTCATCAATATCGCCCACTGCATCAGATCCTCTGGCTGGGACCCCACCTGACCTAACCAAGTGATCTTGGGGCACACTGCAAAGGAAAGGCGCTCTCGCCCATCCAGAGGCCCAAGGCATACTGCTGCAGGGCCAACCTTCTGTTGAAGCCCCTGGTCTTCACAATCTTCACAGCAGGCTTGAAGGAATACACTTTATTAATCTACCTCAAAAACACTAGAAACTAAAATTCAGCTGAATTATAACAATCTATTTACAGAGTGCTGCCTATAGGCCAGTTAGGGCTGAACCTAGTCCTTCCCTAGCCACCCACCAAGCCCATCCTCCAAAGAGGCCTGGGGCCACCTTCCACCTGCAAAAGAAATGCCTGGCACACAGAGGACATTGGTATCCACCTGACCAAGCCCTCAGCAGGGTATATCAGGCAGGAGGGCCCCAGTCCAACACAGAAAGAGATAGACAGACAGACAGACAGACAGACATGGATGGGCCCTAAGACTGCTCAGGGGACTGAGGGCCTGCCTCAAGGCCTCTTCAGGCTATAGGCCAGGCTGCTGGGGACCCTGGTGGTTTTCAGGGGTGGTGAGTTCCAAACAGCAGAGCTAGTGCGTTTGTGGTAGCGAGGCTTGCTTTTCTTGAAGATGTCCTCCAAATCCAGGGGGAGAATGGTTCCGAAGAGCTCCGGAAGGCTCGGGGGGTGGTAGTACTGGTGCACAATGGCCTGGCTGAGCTGGGTGCCTAAGGAACATAGAGACTTGGATCACTGTCTGGCACTCTCTGCCAACTTCCCGGCTCCCTTAACCTACCCACAGAATCCTGTCGCCTTCTCCACACCAGCATGCCCTGCCCCTGCCACCTGCTCCTGCAGAGGCCTCTCATCTCCAAACAGCAGACAAATGGTAGAGCTAGGTGTGCAAATAAGCATGGCTCCAGGGCCTGAGCATACGCTGCAGTCCACCTGGCTGCTCTCACCAACCCCACAGGCCCCACAGAGCAGCGAAGGAGCAGGACACAGCCCCGACAACCAGGCTGAGGAAGACCCTGACCCTTCTGGGAGCAAGCACCCAAGTCTTGCTCAGCACCAGGTGCTGTTCCTGAATTACTTCATGCCCAATAACCTTCTCAGCTGGGTCCAATCACTCCCTCTTCACAGATAAGGAAACTAAGCAAGCTATCTAGGCTATCTAGGATCATCTGCCATCAGGTGACTTTGCTGCTCTCAGTGATGTGACAGCAGTCACATCATCGGATTCCAGTTATAGTGAGGTTTAAATGAGGTCAAAGGATGCTGCCCTTCTGAAAATTCGAGGTCCCTCCCTTTGAGAGCTATGCCTGCCCTGCCCTGCAGTTCAGCAAACCTTGTAAAGCACTTGACCCCCCCGAGCAGGTCACACTCCGGCCCAAGACAGCATCACATACACCACACCCTTGTACAAATGCTGGGACTTGGAAATTCCAGGTCAATTCCTCCTCAGGGTCTTGCCTGACTTTCCTAGCTCTTGACACTTCAACAGCAAACTCTGCTACACTCCCAGCTCACCCAAGGTTGCTTCCATGGGTCCAAACCTCACCAGCCATGGTGTGAGTCAGACTCTAGGAGGGACTAGGATTGAAGTGAGAACACTTAGCTGCATGCTTTGCCGGGGCCAGATGCAGCTCTATTCACAAGAGCAAAGGAACTCAACATCCTCCACCCTGTATGCTCAGATGGGCCTTCAGGCCAGAACGCCCCACCTTCCTCTGGGTGCATGTTCAAGGTCCAAGATGGGCTTTCCAAGTCAATGCCACAAGCCATTGGGCCCCAGCACAGCAGCCTGTACACCCGCACCTACCACTTCCACATCCCACAAAGGTGAGGCAGGGAGGCAGCCTGACCCCTCTTCAGGAGCTTGGGGCCCTGCGTACCTCTGGCCCAGGAGGGGATGGGCTTCCGGGGATGGGCTTCATCGTCTGTGGAGTCATCGCTGTTTAGATCCATCCCATAGTTATCTGGATTGATCTTGGGGTGGGATTTGGGTCCTTGTGGAGTCATTTGATATGAGGTACAAACAGGAGACTAGAAGAAAGGCATGGTGGTGAGCGCCCCTCCCCGGCATTCCCATATCCCCCCACTGGAGGGCACTGGTGCCTGGTCACCTCCCCTCAGTTCACAATGGGCACCAAGCTCAAAACAATCTAAAACTCAACAGCAGGATGTGGTTAAATTCTGATACAATGAACTGGGCCACAGCCATCAAAAACAAGACATCTACATGTGTTAAAATAGATGTCTAGGCCTGTATGGTAGCACACGCCTTTAATCTCAGCAGGGAGGCAGAGGTAGGTGATCTCTGTGAGTTCAAGGGTCAAGGCCAGCCTGGTCTACATAGTGAGTTCCAGGCCAGTCAAAGCTACACAGCAAGACCCTGCCGTGCCCCCCACATCCCTAAAAAGAAAAAAAAGCTGCCCAAGTGTACACACAGTCTGTGCTCACTTAAAAATATGCCTATTTATATGTCACATGCTTGTATGTAGAAAATGACTGCTCATGTGAAAATTTAGAAGGACATAAGCTTAGTTTTATCTGAGAGCCTCTTTTTTTAAAAACTTTATACTCACATTAAAAAGTTTAGTTTCTTGGAGCTGGAGAGATGGCTCAGCAGTTAAGAGCACTGGCTGCTCTTAAGAGGACCTGGCTTTGGTTCCCAGCACCCATGTGGTGGTTAACTACTGGAAACTCCCCAACTTGAGGGGGATACCCTCTTCTAACCTCTGCAGGCATTGCACAACACGGCTGCACTCACATGTATGCAGGCAATACACTCATACACATAAAATAAAAATAATAAATATTTTTAAGCTTAATTTTTAAAAACTGCATTCTAGTTTTACGATATCAAAACAATAAGCATTATGAACAACAGAAAAAACAGAAGCTGTGTGTGGCAGCACATGTCTGTATTCCATGCAAGTAGGATGTAATGGGAGAAGGATTACAAAGTTGAGGCCAGCCTGGGCTACCCAGCCAGACCCTATCACCAAAAAGAAAACTAAGGTGACTAAGTGACCTGCCCTCTTTCTTCAGGCTCTGACATACACAGCCTGTGCTTGTACTAGACAGAGAACGGTTAGATCAAGGCCCTTGCCAAACTGGGGGCCCCTCCCAAACGGGCCACAGGCCTCACCTGCACGTCCACAGTCACGTTCAGGGCCTTGTTGGCTGCTGCTGCCTCTTTGGATTTCTTCTCCTGCTCTTCCTGCAGACGCTGCTCAGCCAGACGCTGCTGTTCTTCCTGAGACACAGCAGGGGCTAAGAGGTGCATGCCCCTCCCCCGCCACATTGCCACCCCACGTGCTAGGACAAGTCAGGCCCTACCCAAGAGTCTAGGCCAATCCTCCCGACTCTCCTAGGCCACAGGTCAGCTCAGACCCCACAGAGGCCTCACCCCAGCAGTCCTACCTTCTTCTTCTCCTCCAGCTCCTTCTGCAGTCGCTCCTTCTGTAACCGCAGAGCTTTCTCCCTCTCCTGCATCTCCCTGAGGACCACCAAGAGCCTTTCAGGGCAAAAACCGAGCCCTGGCCCTGTCCCCATCCCCAATAGGCAAGCTAGACTCGGTGGGCATGCTTTTAGAGAACGGGACAATAGAACTGTTGGCTTAGAGCCAAAAGGGGACTTCTTCCCAACTCTCCAAAAGCAAGGCTCTGAGCCTGACTTGAGTGCAGCCACATGCAGCTCCCACTCCTCCGGACAACCGAGGTCTCTGAGCCTCACTCCTCTTTTTTGCACTGGGAGAGTAACACCTTTCCTCTAGCATTGTCACAACCAAGACAGACAACCTATGCTACTTCCAGTGCAGACACTCAGCTCCACGGAGCAGAGGAAGGGCTGTTGGCCGGCTTTGGTGTTACCACTGCACTCTGCCTGTGACCAAGAACTGTCAGCAAAGTAGAGCTGATAGTTTCTATGCCACAAGAGTTTTAAGTAAGAATTAAACAAAGAAACCTGCAGGGATGTAGCCACCGCCCGCCACAACTGTCCTGTCATCCCTCAAAGCCAATGCTGCCGTGCCCCTGGTTCTGAAGCCACACAGTTGCCACTGCCCCTCCACTTCCTCTTTCTCCAACTCATCCACCAGACCAGGGTCACTTTTGGGTCAATCTAGATGTACCAGAAAATCTCACTAAGAATGCAGCCCTCTGGTGGTAAGTGCTTACTTCTGCAGTACCACAAACATCCCTGCCCAAGATGCCCAGAGCAGCCCTATGGAGAAGTACTAGCTAGTCCTAAGATACCCCGACTCTACTGTATCATTAAGAAAAAGGCACCAAAGGAGCCAGCATACACCCTATCTGGTGGTCCACCAGCAGCAGGCATCTGGCTGTGAAATCAAGGAAAAGCCTGCCAACCTCTAGGTGAAGACAGCTGCCTCTCACAGGGCTCGAATCACCGGCCAGAGGGCAGCCTCACCTCTCCGCCTGGAGCCGCTCCTGCTCCCGCCTGCGCTCCTGCTCCCGCCTGCGCTCCTGCTCAGCCAGCCTCTGCTCCTGCTCCCGCTGCTCCGCCAGCCGCCGAGCCTCGGCCTTCCGCTGCCGTTCCTGCTCCTCCTCCTTCTTCCGCTGCAGCATCTCTTGGTGGCGCCGCTCTTCCTCCTCCTGAAATGGCCGTGCAGGGTAAGGTCAGGGTTCCCGGGAGGGGCCTGGCTGGGCCTGCACGGAGAAGCTAGCCAAGGGCTGAGAGGTTGCTCCCACCCAAGGCCCTGGCTCCTATGGCACCGACCATGACTATGACAAGAGCCAGGACTGGCTTTGGAGTTGGCTAGCATCTGACAACTATTGCAGCAGACCTAGCAAGTGAGAGTCATGACTCGAGAGCTAGCTGTGTGCACCCTGCAGGTCATCTGACCTACCAGTCAGTTCCTCATCTGTAAAACGGGCAGCAGTAGTCCCCAAACCTCATGGAGTTGCCTGAGTTAACACACCTTATGCACAGAAAAGTGCTTAGCAGAGAGCAAATAAATCATACTGATTAGTGAGAGAACTCCCCAATGATGGATATTTGCTCCCTACAGTAGTAAAACTCCAGTTCCCAGGAGAGGCAGGGCCCTACTCTTCAGGCATGACACTCACCGTGGAATGGTAAGCCCAATCACGTGCATAACACTTAGCGTGTACAAGGCACTGCCTATTTATACATGAATACAACCTACTCTTCCAACAACCTTATCAGCAAGATACCACTGCTACTTGAAGCAACTGCACAAGGTCACACTGCTAAGAAATGACTGTGAGGCTGGAGAGACCGGTAGTTCAGTGGTTAGGAGCACCGGCGGAGGACTCAGGTTCAGCTCCCAGCACCCACATGGAAGCTAAGAACCGTCCGTAACTTCAGTTCCAGGGGATCCCACGGCCTCTTCTGACCTCTGCAGGCACTGCACGACAATGCAGGGAACACACTCATACACATAAAACAAAAACAATAAATATTAAAAAAAGGAAAAAAAAAAAGGCAGATCTGTGCTGGAAGTCTGACTCCATATCCATACATTTAACTCTCAAGCTGCAGCTTCTAGAGAAGGCAGATTATATATATAGTCACCACCTCCTCCTGGACTTTCAGCAACAAGACCCAGCAGAATCCTCTACAAAGTGCGGTGTGCCCAGAAGGTCCTCATGCCACTGAGGCAGTGCCTGTCCTCCCCCTCTTCTGACACCACTTGTAATCGCACCTGTTGGAGCCACCTGAGCCTGCGTGCCTCCTCCTCCTGTTTCCTGCGTGCCTCTACCTCCTCCATCTTCTTGGCCGCTGCTTTCTTCTTGGCCTTCTCCTCTGCCAGCCGCTCCTCCTTTGCCTGCAGAATCCACCCACATGTGTCCTCTGAAGCAGCCCCTCACTCCACTCTGCAGAATGGGGCCTAGAGCTCTGTGTAATGGCCACCCCACTCCCCAAGAAACCCACTTGCTGCCCATAGCCCGGGGAAAAGGCACAAGCAGCCCTATCTGCCCGGGACCGCCCACACACAAATGGCCACTGGGAAAATAGGCCAGACTGAACACCAAGCGTGACTCAAAAGAGACTCCAGAGTCCACGATATGGGCAGAAGCGGTGTAGAGGACACCCACTTCACAACCTCTGGGAGTCCAGTTCCACCACTCAGGCTGCTAAACCTGAACGTGCTTAGGCCCCCAGCACACTGGCCACCTACAGTCTGCTGCATCAGCCCAGACGCCCACCTTCTCAGTCTTCTCATCAATCTGAGCAAACTTCTGCTCAATCTGCTTCTTCTTTTCCTCCTTCATCTGCTCCACCCGCTCACGGGCCTGAAGCACCTTGCGAAGGCGCTCTTCACGTTTCCTGCGGGCACAGGGCCGTCAAGGAGAGCCTGCCTAAGCCGGGGCGGGCTGCACTGGGAGCCCTGGGAGCCCGGCCACTTACAGCTTCACCTCCTCCAGCCGCCGGCGCTTGTCCTCCTCCACCTTCTGCCTGCGCAGCTGCTCGGCCTCTTCCTTCCGCCGCAGGTTTTCCAGGCGCTGCCGCTCCTTCTCCTGAAGAGGGCAGGGGCACTGGGACATGAATGACACTGCCACCCCAAAGGCTGCCTAACAGCCTGCATCAGTTCTCAACCGGGTGGCAGTGGCAGCAGATGCCTCTCAGAGGGAGAGATGACCCCAGGGTACACTGCCCACCAATGATAGGCTTGGGGGTTCAGTCTCTCCTCCCAGGAGGAATTAAATGCTCTCAAGAACTTGATTTATGGGCAGCACAAAAATCACATTCAAACTAGATGTGTGCCTTAATTATAATTACATAAACAGTACACCTGAAAAGAGACTAAAGACAGACTATGAAGAGAGAGGAAGGCAGCTTGGAGAGTTACAATGAATACTCTCTTTAGAGGGCAGCAGATGCAGAAGCAGCCGTTCACCACTATTGTTCCTTACAACATACATGCTAGGACGTGTATATACACTATTCTTTTATGTGCATCAATTCTTTCTTACTAGTTGAAAAAAATTAAGTACTGTCAAACGTTAACAGTTATATAGGCTAATGAGCTAGATCAAGGATGGTATTTTTGTTTCGGAATTTCCTGTGATATGGCTACATTAATGGTCTTTTAAATAAAGAGATAGTTAGTCAGAGCCAGGCATGGTGGCACATGCCTTTAATCCCAGTACTCAGGAGGTAGAGGCAGCAGATCTCTGTTGAGCCTGAGGCCAGCCTGGTCTACATAATGAATTTCAGGCCACCTGGAGCTGCAGCAAGACCCTATCTCAAAAGAAACCAAAAAAGGAAAAAGAAAAGGGGGAGGGGGGAGGAGAAGAGAAGACAAGAGAAGAGAAGGGGGGGGGCCCTGGAGAGATGGCTCAGTGGTTAAGAACACTGGTTGTTCTTGCAGAAGACCCGGGTTTGAATCTCAGCACCCACATGGCAGCTAACAACAGTCTGTAACTCGAGTTCCAGGGGATCTGACGGCCTA